CCACCCTTTAAGGCGCGCAGGCTGCCGCTCGACGAGAACCGAAACCCGCAGGCCAAGGCAAAGCCGCGGCCGGCCGGCGGGGCGGGCGTTGCGGCGGCGTTCGGGACGGCGGGGGTAGCGCAGCGGCCGCACAAGCGCAGTCGGTGAAGACGGCACGGCGCGAAGGGCCGAGACTCGAGCCACCTTGGGCGGATTCTCAACTCTCAAGCAGCATACACTTTCTCGGCATAGTCCATAGACCATAGATTCTGGCTCCACCCTCTACGCCACCTGAGCGACCTGAATGAAAGATTGTGAAGTCGTGTGTGAGACCCTGTGAGTGTGACCCTCGCGCGCGTGTCTCGAGTGCCGTGCCAGCCAGCAACCTCTGCACCACCAGACCTGCACCTAGCGCACACGCGGAAATCGCCACGTGCCTCCACGAGTCCTCTGTTCTCGGGCATTAACACTATATTCCGCCACCATGGCGGCGCGCGCGTTTTTTCCGCGCGCGATATTACGGCAATCGGCACACGCGATACGGGGTGTGGAGGGTGAGTTGACCAGGGGGTTGTGCGCCGGGCCCTCCTGCTCGGCTCCAGCGAGTAGACAAGTCTTGTCATCAACAGAGTAGATGGATCTGACCTCGGGGCCGATGTGACCAAGCGCTGGTAGCGTGGTTTTACCTCACACCCATGGTCTCACAGTGTGTGCCGGCAGTCGCCGAGCAGTGTCGCTCACACAAGCCGCAGCACAAGTGACTGAGGGCCAGTGAGGGCGAGCCGCACAGTAGGCTGCTCACACACTCTGCACAGAGGAGCTGCTCTCCAGGCTTCTGTCGCAAAGAGCTGCATGCCACCGAAAGCGCTGTCGAGGTTCGCCGACCGCGGCGAAATCGGGGGACACCGTCACCGACGAGCGCGTTGTGGTATTCACTCCGGACAAAGTGTCTATCTGTAGGAGTGACTTCAAGAAGTCACTTAGTGACTTCTCGAAGTCACTCGCCCCCGCGCGCACAGTACGTGCTCTAGCGTCGGCCCGTGCACCGTGCGAGCCCCTGGCGAGCCCCCGCGGACTCGGCCCCAGTCGGGCCGCGACGGGAGAGGCTCTTAGAGCAGCTTGGCGGCGTTCACTTGGAGACTGCGTGATAAAATTGTTTTCTCCTTCCTCGAGACGATTGCGCTGAGCGCTCGTCCCCGCGGGCAAGAGGCGATATACGGCGCTGCCTCCGCACCGCTACGCGATGACACAAGCGACGCAATCCGGCGACATGCAGGCACCCAATGCTGTGCCGGAGGCTGACTGGTCGAGGCGGTCGACCTCGTCGTGGCTCTTCCACGCGCCGCCGCTTCTCGTGTGGACAGCTGGTTCGGCTCGGACGCAGTGGACAAGAGGACCACCACATTCGCTGGCACACCGCGGCCGACGCTGTCTGCGCTCCCACGCAAGCGCCGGTATCCAAATCGAATGCATGCGTTACTGCGCTTACTGCGCGCCGCCGCCTACCTCAGAGACTACATTGGTCTGCGCGAATTCGAGGCGCCGTGCGACGTTTGAGGCGGACAGCCCTAGGCGACACGGCGTCTGTGCTCGTGTTTATTGTGCTCGTGTTCAAGCAAGAAGCATCAGTGCGGGTACATGCGGTCCTACCACTGCACACAGTGCTTCCCGGACCCGAGCCAGGTTGGCTACGCGATCTGCAGCCCGGTCGGGACAAAAGCTGGCGACCCTCACCGGCTTTGCCAAGCACCTGCTCGAAGAGGAGCCGTCGCATCGGGCACAGCAGCACCCCCCCGCCGCGACGCGGCGATCGTCCATCGCCGTACCGGCGACCTGAGCCTGCGCCTGCGCCGGCAGCGGCGGCGCCGGCCGCCGCGGCGCCGGCAGCCGCAGTGCCCCGTGCGCGCCGCCGCATCATCTAGAGGTGAGACGGGGTGAGTGGCGAGTGTGCGGCGGCCGGAGGGCGCGTCAGACGACCGCGAGGGCGGCCCACATGCGGAGTGACTTTTAGAAGTCACCCCGTTTCGGGCGTCTCACCGGCGTACTTGAGGTGCTTCAGACGGACGCAGTGGGCTGTCGGCAAGGTAGGTGAGTGTCTAGGGGTCATCTCTAGGCTGGTTAGCCTTGATTTTGATCAAAGATCGGCGCAAGAAACGGTCGCGATGCCTCGTGTGAACGCTTTGAAGAGTGACTTCTCGAAGTCACTCGGTCCTACGGAGAGACAAAAGACGGCTACACGCACACGAGCCGCGGTCGTGTAGCCGTCTTAGCGGCGAGGCGCGGGACCGTCTTGTATGTGGTTGTTTTGGATCAAACTTGTGACAGCACTCTCTGACGCGATGCGGCCTCTGTCTAGCCTCCTGCTTCTATGCGGCAGCTATGCCTATGGCGGGACCGCTATCGAGTACCTAGGTATGGCTTATCCTCCGGCCAGTATGGCCTCGACTATTGCATCGCCGAGGCCGACACCACCACCGACATGACAGCGTCGACCACCATGGCAGCTCCAACGTGTACGCTACCATGGACAAGCCTTGCACTCTATATGCCAGCCACCACCTGGGCGCCTGGCATGTGCGAGCACAACTCCATGGGGCCTTGCGTAGTTTTGGCTATGCCTGCAACGCCGCCTATGGCGCCATCGCTCCTCCTACAATTCCCCTCCCCCTGGGATCGCTTCAGCAATTTGGCTTTCGTCGACTCCATGTCTACGCACTTTATCGTGCCCGACATTGCTGTGTTGCACCGCACTGTGACCGACCCGTCACCCGGCATTGGCGTCGACACCGCCAACGGCCCCTCCTATGTCGAGGCCATCGGCACCGCCCTAATTTGGCTTTATCATGGTGGCACTGTTGGCTTCATGTGCTCGTAATGCCCAATTGCGACGCCGTGCTTTACTCGACCCGGACCATGCGCAATCCGTTTGGATTTCGACACGATTTTGATTCGTCCAATCCCGCCATCAGCTGCCCTGGGCGCCCGAAGATTCCCATTATTGACGATGGATCTGGATTTCGCATACCCATCGCCTTTGTGCGCGCCGGCCGACCGTCTTAGTATGGGCTCATCCGCAGTATGGCTGCCGTCGCCGGCAGTTGTCGACCGGGGGGGGCCCATGACCCCGGCAAGCCAGTGAGGACCGGGGAAGCCTCGACCAAAGGCGCCCAACTTTAATCAGTGACCGTCATTCCGGGGCCGTACACCAGGTGCGCCTGCAGCGCGCTCTCGGCGAAAGTAGCCATTCTACACGCTCTCGTGACGCATTTTTGCGTCATTCGTAATGATGTGGTGTCCGTCTCTCCCCCCGTGTGCCGTGTGTCTGACCGAGCTTCTCGGAAGCTACGCCGCCTCCGGCGGCGCTATAGAGGGGGGGGGCCCATGACCCCGGCAAGCCAGTGAGGACCGGGGAAGCCTCGACCAATCCTGCTGGCGGGAGGTCCCCAGTTCGAAACCTGCTCGACGCTTATATCTTTTTTGTTCGCACCTGAGCGGGCTCAATTTTGCTCAGATGCTCCTTACTAGTACGAATTCGAAACCGTGTCCTCCTCACGCTTTTAGCGCTTGGTGTGTGTTCGTTTTTCGTCACGGGATTTAGGCCCAAAAAGTTAACGTTTGACAACCCTAGTATTGGGGAGAGAGGCCAGCCTCCGGCTCTCAGCGTGACGCGAGTGCTGTGTCTCTGCCTGCCTGGTAGCTGGGTGCGGTGGCCGGTGGGGGTCGGAGTCTCTGGTGGTTTTGTTACACATTTACGAATTTACGGATCTCCACCCCCCGCTCCCTCCCCGTCCCGCGCGGCCCGGCCGTGCGACGACGCCGATCGACTGGCCTGTGCGTGCTGCCGAGCCGAGCAAGCGATGGACAGGGGGGGGGGGGGGGGTAGTAAAGCCAACGCACGCCCCGACTGCGCGGACGCGCCTCGCCAGCGGGGGGCGACTGCGGCGCCTCCGCATGCCTCACGGCGCCGGCGCCTTGATGTTCGCAATGATCTCGTCGAGCTTCCCGATCTGGCGGACAAAATAGTCCGAGTGGCGGCGCGTGAGGGAACTGTCCGCCACGTGCGCCTAGAGAGAGGAGCGCAGCACGGCGTCCACCGAAAGCGGGAGAGGAGGAGTGGAGGGCCCTGCCGGCCCTCGCCATGTCGCCGTCCACGTAAAAGTCGACATCGGCGCTCGAGGCGAGGGAGCCTAGACACCCCCCCAGACACTTCTTAGACACACGTCCTGAGACATCTCCTGAGCAGCTCGAGGCGAGGGAGCCGGAGATGGGCGATCCGCCAGAGTGGACTAGCGCGTGCGTCTTGTGCTTGAGACACTGCAGCTGCTCCCGGAAGGCGCCCTCAGCGTCGCCGCCGCTCTCCGCCTCGTCGCAGCAGTCAATGAAGTAAGTAACGCTAGTCAATGAGTTCATTCAACTGGGTAGCCGCTTTCCACCTCGTCGAGCAGCTCCGCGAGCTTTGGGATGCCGATGGTGGTGTAGAGCTTGAGGAGAGAGCGGACGGTGGGCAGCATCGCCTGCTGCTTCACCTCGGCCAGGAAGAGCTTGAGCTGCAGCCGGTACGCCTAAGAATGAGAGCACGAATGGCGGTGATGCTGATGCAAGACTCATCAGAACTCCGACTCCTAGCGGGCTGCAGCCGGCGCGCCTCTTGCGGGTGGTAGTCCTCCGGCGCCTCGTACGGCGGCGGCGCAGCGGAGAGGAACTTTGGGCACGAGAAGGCAAAGAGCTCCTCGTAGGCCGCCAGGTCGGTGAGGTTGGCCTAGAAGGTTCCTAGAAGGTTCCTAGAAGGTTCCTAGACTCCTCGTAGGCCGCCAGGTCGGTGAGGTTGGCCTGCATGCGGAGCATGCGGTCGCCGTACTTGTCGCGCAGCGTCGAGCTGATGTTCTCGTCCACCTACCACGGAGATGGTGGGAGATGGGGGGAGATGGGGGAGATGTGGGGGGATGGGGGGGGATGGGGGGGGGATGTGGGGGGATGTGGGGAGATGGGGGGGGGGTGTGGGGAGACGCGGGGAGACGCGGGGAGATGTAGATGTTAGATGTGGGGGGATGTGGGGGTGTGTAGGGAGATGTGGGGAGATGTTCTCGTCCGCCTGGTTCGTGCACGAGCACGTCAGCGGGGCGGGAGTGAGTGGCGGGAGTGCGTGTCTCTCTCTGCGGCGAGCCGGCGCTGCCCGCGCGCAGTACGCATGCGACTTACGCACCCGCCCCTTACCAAGGTTTTTAATATTTTTTTTTCCGGGGCGTTCATTTGCTGTGGTCCTTTAATGGCCTATTCTCTTAGTACCACTGATTCTTATCTTTTATGCTGTCCTGTTGAATTCTTCCTATT